TAAATAATATTTATGTAACCAAAAGTAATGCCTTTTTATATTCTAGACTACTCCCCCCATTCATATTTTACATCCCAATTTTCAAGAAGACAATATTTTAATTTTTAAAAATCACACTCAGGAAGTTACTGTGCAAATAGCATCCTTTTCCCCCCAAAGTGTAAACCATCTACATTGAAAAGTATTTCTGAGTTACAAAATAAAATAATTTCCGCTTTTCATTGTGATATTTTGGCACTAATAATTTAGGAACTTCTGACATTTCCTATAGTGAATGCAAAATACATCAGAAAGGTGTGGGAGCAGTGAACACTGTGCTCCAAGATATCAAAGAGTTAATTATAAAGACTTAACTCCTTGAAGGCAGGACATTAAGCATAATTAATTAAAAATTTGTTCTAACCGAAAATTTCAACTTTTTTTTACAGGTTATAAATTTTCTAAAGAACATAAATCTAGGTAGATTTCAAAAGCCTAGAAAGAGCTCTGTTTAAGTTAGAAGATCAGAGTGGTTCATTATGCAAACAAAATCTGACCTTTCAGTGCAACTCTGTTTTTTGTTTTTTAAGTCTTTTTTTCCCCTTTACCTTAAGCGTCTTAACAGGATAAAATAAAACCCTCCCTTTTTTGAAGAAAAAAAAAAAAGGAAAATTAAAGCTTCCTATTTTTACATGAACTTAATCCAGTATTTCTTTTCTCAGTGCTCAAAATTACTCTATTACAAATCAACCATGTTGGAAGACACTATTTGTCAAGCTGCAGTTTGATTTTGTCATTTAATGTAGTGTTTTTATCCTATAGTTATCAAAATACTCCAAAATGTGAATCAAGCCTCAAAACAAGTTATGTGAAGAATTATCCCCATTTGACGGACGGGAACCTGAGGCACAGAGGTTAGTTAACTTTCGTAGGGCTGCACAAGTCACTGGCATAAAAGAGAATGAAAGAACAAATAAACCCAAATAAACTCAGTTCTCTGCTCTAAGCCCTCTAAGTAGAGCTATACGGCTGCTCACACCAGTGACATCAATTTTTAGGATCCATGTTCTACCAAATATCTGCTGTAGAAATTTTGATCGTTATGTGAAACCTAAGTTTTTCATATGTAATTTAATTTGTTTAAAACAGAGGAGTTTGTGTTATTTTAGTAATATGCCAGGAGTTTATAAGGGAAAAAACCCAACCTCGAATATTATTAGGCCAATTCTTATTTCTATTCATATTCATCTTTATCTTTTCATATACACAATGGAGAAACAATAATCTAGCTTTATTTATAATGTTCAGCTACACTAAAGAATACATCCTAAAGACTAATCCACAGTAAAAGCAACATAATTTACACCTAAGGAATATAAAATAGGTCGAGGTATATTATACCATCAACTCTCTTATCATGAGACAATGCTCCATTTACAAATTCTGAATCTTTTTTTCTTTTGGATTCAGAACTGATACAACTCTTGCTCTTAAATATGAATATAAATAAACCTTAAAATAATCAAGGATTGCTTTTCCAAAGGGAGGAAGACTAAGTTTTAGGAGTCAACAATATACTTTTACTCCCTGAGATGGCAGGCCATGAAGAGTAGATCAAAATCTGCTCGGTGAGTAAATTACTTTCCGAGTATCAGGTACTTTGGGAAGTGCAGTCATTCCTTTCAGGATAGAAAGCCACAATAGTTAAAGCCTGTTAAGCCTAATTCAGATAACAGAGATATAAAAAGGTCTGCATCTCTAAAGAAACACACTCCTTTCCTTCTCTGCTTTTCTGAAAATCATTTTAGATACTGAGAAAGGAAGCTATCAAAACACATTTACTCTTGGTGGGTAGATACCCTACCCTGGATAACAATATGACTATTTTTACAGCCTGGAGTTTGACCTTATTAAATAATAACAAAGTTGCCTTGGAACTAATATATCTCAAAAGTACTTAACTTATACTCAGAAAGTAATTTATCCATCTGGCAGGACCTATGCATTATTTATTAAGTGTTTACCTGTTGCGGGATAAGGAAGATGAAAACTGACAGCACATTTTAATAGTGACATCTTATACCAGAAAACAGATATAGGATCATGGAATGGAAAGAACCCAGCTAAAAAAAAAAGAAGGCTGCTTGGATGAAAAAAGGGAAATGAGCTAAAAATACAACACGGAAAAAAGAAGGTGAAAGGCTTGATAAATGGGAACTACAAGAATATTGCTTATTGCTGAACCAATAACAAAACACGTATTTCATTATTATTCTACTCTGAAAAGTCTGTGGTTACAGTGCAAGTGATGAACAAGGCCACTAGAAAATCATGGATTCCTTCCCGAAGGCTCTGGATTTTGTCATTCCCATTGTTGTCTACATGAGTTTCTGGCAGTTAGCAGGCTGCCTTTTCTCTATAAAAAGGAAGCAAGAATGAAGAAAACTGTTTTGGTGTGGCCTATCAGCTTGGGGTCTGAAAAAGGATTCATCATGGTCCTAACATTTCATAAAAAATCAGGGTTTAAAAAAAAAAAAGGTTAAAAACAAAAAATGAAGGTGAGAGAACAAGGCACCATCCAGGCAGGAGGACAATTGTCCCTTTAAACGTATGTCAATATGAAATCTAAACATTCTAATTTAATTATAATTTCAGACAAAAACTTTGAAGATGCTCAGGAGGTGAAAGAGGTGTCTGTAAGGGTACATTGGTAATTTTGAGGTTTTCATTTTTATAAAAGGAAAAACAAAAGATAAAACATATCATGGTGCTACAACTTATCATCCCACATCCCTCTAGTATTATCTCCAATTTATGCTGTCTATATATTTGTAAATAGTTTCCATATTGTCTCCTCAACTAGAATAAGAGGTCCTTGAAAGCAGGGGCTGAGTTTTTTCGTGTTTTTTTTTTTTTTGTTTTGTTTTTTTTGTCTTTCTCTGTGTCCTCAGTGCATAAGACAGTGACTGGCACACAGTAGATGCTTGATAAATACTTGATGAATTTATTTGATTTTGAAGCTATATTTAAAAAATGGTAGTGTTTTCTTCCCAAGTGATAATAAAAGCGAAGGTATTGAAATGATGCTATTTCCATTTGCTTTTGGAAAGGCTCAACTCTGAGAACTGCCCTATTTTCCCTCACCTACTCCCCAAGTTTTAATTAAATTGAAAATATGATTCTATCCATTTTCCCATTCTATTTCTAAATTAATTTTAAACTAACAACATATAGAAAGCTGCTAGAAATCAGATGTTATTTGCTCCGTGCTAAGCTTCATGATCACCTGATAGTTTTTTTTTTTAACTTGATAGTATTTCTAAAGGACTAGTCATATTAACTTTGTATGATTTGGCCAAATAGGAGTAGGTCTATGCTGATAAGATACTTTTAGTAAAAACTAGTATTTAAACCCTCTCTGGATCAGGGATACTTCTGGGGAATGTGGGGAGTCTGCTTAGAATTAGTTTAATATCTAAATATAGGTAGCTGTTTGGGGGAAACTTCAAATACTCTATTTTTATTTTGACATTCAGTCTTGCACAAAATCTCAGGAAATGATATTCGAACTGTCATTCCTAAACACTCGTGATATTTATAGTTCTGGAGTAAAATATGATAAAGTACACTAAATTTTAAAAGCTTCTTCATTCCTCAGATACCAGGTTTAACAAAGAACAAAGGATTTCTATGCCATACATGAAAATTCCCTTCAATTTATGGTTGTACCATAATGGGAAAATATTCACAGCAGTGAAAATATTGCGAATATGACCTGTTCTGAAAATTGAACACATGCAATCATTGATCAGGGTTTGCATTACTAAATATTTTGTGCTAAATCACTATTTAAATAAAATATCCCTTAATAGAAATTGAGCATTTATGGTAGGTCAATTAACAACAACAAAATAAGGTCTGTAACTTTTAAAAGAGCCATCACAATATCTGTGTCTTTACTCACAAATTACTTCCATAAAATGTAGCTCCTATTTTAGTAATTTTTTTCTTTACATTAAACAGTAGTCTAATTTTATTTATTCTCTCTGCATCAAGTTCCCTATAATTTCATAACTGAACTTTTCAGCTGACATTTTTTAATTTCTTTATATTCTTTACCATTTACAGGTAACTTTGACTCTTTTTAGGAGCCATTGGTTTTCCCTTAGTAAGAGTCCCTGCAATCAGAAGTTACTAATAGCTACTTTTCTTTATCCTAACTTTCCATTTTACATGTATCTTTGTTTCATTAAAATGTCAAACAATGATACAAATGACATTTTGCTAGGGATTTCTGTCACTTAATGTTTTGGTCTTATTTCATTTAGCATTACTAAGTACAGAATAGTAATCATAATCAATACACTGGTAAAATGAAGTGCTTATTTGCAAAGTCTAATGAATGAAAAGTTAGAGGAATAAGAATGTTCTGCCACATTGGACAACAAACTCACTCAGCTGTGGTCATCAGTGCTTGCTATGAACTCTTTAGAAAATTTCTGTTGCAAAAGTTCTTTTATAAACCAGCTTCTTTCCCAATTTATAGAAATTAGCGTTAGCTTATCTTTTGTCTTTCTCATAGAGTTTCAAGGAACTCAATCTCTGTGGTAGTTCACTGTTTTCTCTCTCTTTTGAAAGCATTAGAATCTAGCGAACAAGGAGTTATTTTTGAAAAGCCATTTAGTCAAGATACATATTTCTTCCTGAAGGAACTCATTAACCTACAGAATCAAAAGACTTAAGGCTGGAATTTGGAACTGATATCCATTACATATGATGAAATGCAAAAGGAGATGTCCATACATACCTAGTTGTTCTCAGTCTGATGATAGCTACATACTAAAGAAATCCAAATAGCTTTGAAGTGGTCTTAGCCTTGACTACCTTCCCAGAAACATATTGCTTTTTTTTCTGGATGACTTATGCATTTAGAATCTGAGAATATCCAAAGAAATGATATTGTTTTAACTTATGTAATAAGTTATTTATTAAAAAAAGAAGTTATTTTTTCATTAGCTCAGTCAAATTAAGGGGTATTTTTAAAAGGCAAAGGCACTGAAATATTTAAATTCTTTTTGCAAACAAACCAGTACATAATTTCTTTATTTCTTTTCTCATAATTTCTTTACTTCTTTTCTTTACCTCTTCCCTCCCCAATGTTTTGCCATTAACTGATCTTGGAGACCTACTTTTTAAAAAGAAGATTTTTAATTATTTTTAGTGGTTATCTTTTATTTGAATAAATACCTGAATTTTATGTCAGAGACACATATATAATCCAGAAAGACAAATGTAAAAGTGGTCACTAAACTGCTGGATTTCAAGCCTATGGTCCAATTAACATTTTACATCCTTTTCCAATGTAAGTATCTAACAAATGAGAACATTTAGCATTGTAAGAAGAAAAGGGAGCACCATCTCTTTTTTTTTCTATTTAAATTGGCTTTTAAACTTTTTTTTTTTAAGGAAATGACATTCTCGAAAGCTTCCTGGTTAATGACAATGAGAAACAGAAGACTAGTCGACAGATAAGTGTGACGCCTTGACTGCCATTCCACAATGCTGAATGAGAAACCTCAGACATTTTGGGAGGGATTTAATTTTCAGGGGAGGCAGTGCATCACTCTCTATGCTGTTTCAACTCTTGGCCCTTCTGCTAATGATAGCCACTGATAGTGCTGATGAATGCCATATGAAGTGGTGATTTTAGGGATATGGACATTTGTTCAGTAGGAATTTGACAGAGGCCACCTACTAATTCCACCAACAACTCAAACATCTGAGATGTTTACACATTTTGGTCTCCGCAAACCTAGGTCAAATTCAGACCAGTAACCATATCCCGCTACTGGTTCCCTGAGCCACCCAATCCCCATAAATGTATTTTAATCAGTTTTCATGTTAGGTTTATTCATCTCCCCAAGGTTGAAATTGAACTCTTTGAAGACTTGTATAAGGACAATGCCAATGGAAACAGTAGTGAATCCACATGCCATTCCCAAGAAATCTACCAGTCCTACATTACTCCATTCTCGAAAAAGAATCGCTGAGGCCAACAAGACCAAAGTGGTGAATACAACATAATAGATGGCACCAAATACAGATGAATCAAAGCACTCAAGTGCCTTATTAATATAGCGAAATTGAATGATGATACTACAGCCAAGTACAGCTAAAAGGACCAGACAAAGGTATAGGGCTCTTTGACTTGATGGATTATTATGAAAGATATCTTGAGCAGCTAGCCCGATTCCTTTAGTGCTTGGTACAGTGAAACTCCCCAACAATGAGCAAATACTGATGTACACCATGATATTGGTAGGTCCATGGGCTGGTGCTATCCAAAAGATGAGAAGCAGCAGCATGAGGAGCACTATGCACAGGTAGCCAACAAACACTGAAAAACAAATAACACATTGTTAATCAAAGGGAAAAAAATAAAATATGAATGAATCACACAGCACATTTTTAAAAATGATAAAAGCAAACATCACAAATCAGCAAAGTATGACACTGACATTAAATACTCTTTAATCTACTCTCATTAGACCATAGTATGTATAATCCTCTAACCAGATTAATTAAACTTTTTATTACGTTTCCCTCATTCTGTTACGTTCTGTTCCCATGTCATTTCTTGCCTTAATGGAGCTACAATACCATCAGTACTCTCTCTACCATCATACTCTTGCAATGCCTTCTCTTTTCATATTTCTTCTCATTTTCTCATAAATCCTTCATTGAGAAGCTACCCTAACCCTAGAACCAATTCTCTTTTTTCCCCTATTCTTTTTGTTAATATAAGTCTCTGTGGTATACGAATGTACCACTTGGGCTGACCATCTGTCATCTGTTAGTCTCAATATCTGACTGGTCCCTTTCTTATTTTAATCACACACATCCTCAGTAGTTATCTTTTATATTGCTTCTCATGCATAATCCATGTTTGACAACATGTTTGATAGCATGTTTGATAACATGCAACAGCTCGACACCCATTAGATTTTTATCCATTGACCTCGGAAGCGGCATTTTAACCTTTGAGATAATGAGATTCAGTTATTCACAGTCATTTGTCAAGAGTATATTAGTATTAGAAAGTCCTTTATCACTAAAGCAGACAGTCTGAGATCACCAAAAGCATTATGCAATTTCCCAAATGATCTCTAGCCCCAAACTTCTCATTCTTGGCTTACCTCATTGCCCATCTGCCCAGAGGCAGCTGGTGGTGCAATGGATAGATCACTGGGCCCAGAGTCAGGAAGATCTGGGTTCAAATGCAGCCTCAGGCACTTACTAGCTGTGGGGCCCTGGGCAAGTCACTTAACCTCTGTTTCCCTCAGTTTCATCAACTGTAAAAATGGGGATAATAACAGCATCTACCTCATACAGGTATGGTATGAGGATCAAATGAGATATTCGTTAAAAACAAACAAAACAAAACAAAACAAAATGCTTATCATAGTGCCTGGCACATAGAAGACACTGTGTAAATGCTTATTCCCTTTCCCTTTTCAATTCCCATCTATAGCATTCTTTACTAGATAGCCTAATTCAATAGACCACCCATTCAGTTACATATCATTAAGGGCAACATAATGTTTTCCCCCCAAAATGGATGGTTAAAACCTATTTCTTACTTATTATTATAGATCACTGAGCAGATTGTGTAGTACCAGAGCTCAATAAAACTAATACAATGTTACATGTGAAAAGAAACAACTGGAGAACTTCTCTATTAATAATTTATCCTTTAGTTTGTGTCTAATGGAAGACAAATTTCATACCACAGAATATCTGTAGTGAATAATACATCTTTCTGTATCAACACTTTGACTGATGTCAATACTCAATGTATTAGTGAACAATGATCTCAGATACATCAATCTTAGAGATTTGCAAGATAATGATATACAGGAATTTCTTATATAAGAAGATTGAGTTCAACTGCTCTTATAAATTTCACATTCTTCCTATGATAATACATCTGAGGCAAGAGGCGATGGTATCCAAATGTGATGGTCCATATTGTGACCAATGAGAATAAAATAGGGAGAGGAAACAGACCTGGAAGTTCAATGGTATAGGGAATTTCCAAATGAGGAAACTCTCTATATCCAAACAGGTTGACACTTTCTCTGTAACTTGGTAGAGAGCTTCCAAGAACAGTAGGAGGTTAAGGGACTTGTCCAGCTGTGTCTGAGGTTGTACCTGAGCCCAGGTCTTCCTGGCTCTGAGGTCAGTACTCTACAATGTCTTTTGCCAATGAAAAGAGATCACTATAAATTAAGTTAGCAGATCAGTCCCTTGTCTTGTTTTATCCTCCTTCTGGTTACAAATACTTTTAGGATAATTTGACTTCCTTAAACATATCAATGGCTGAAACCTCTACCATTACTTTTTTCGTGTTAAAAATCACTTAGAGAATCAGATTTCCTGGCATGGGAATTACTCAAGGCTGAGATGAATCTACCAGGGCTAAAGCTAAGATCAGTTTCTAAAGCTAGGCCCAACATGGACTGTCTTTTGACAATGAAAGTAAGATAACAAATGCTGTGGAGTGAATTAAAAGTCAATGCAGTCTGATAAACAGTGAGAGGTCAGAAGAGGAAGGAAGAGATAAGAAGTAGAGTTGGAATTTGGATTTCTACTGACTCAAAAACCAGAACTGATGGCAATACTCTTTGTATTAGGGATCAAATGTACTTAAAGCAATATTATGTCCAAAAAGCCAGGGAAATCCACAGAAAAGGCAGAATCATTTCCTACTGAAAAAAGCGAGTTGTGGAAGCCCTGAGCACAGGTGCAATAAATAAGTATTTTTCTGGAAGCAACTATAGACATTTTTTTTTTCCACAGAAGCCCTTTTCTTCTTTTGTTGATTTCTTTGGAACGCAGACCTGGTAATGGGTCATAGGGCACATGCAGTTTAGTAACTTTGGGAGCATGATTCCAAACTGTCTTCCAGAATGGCTATACCAGTGACAATTTTGTTTTCTCTTTGAATATGCTTATTTCCTCAATTTTTTTTGTCTTATTGCCATGATTAGCATTTCAAACACTACATCAATTAACAATGTGATAATAAACTGCCTTGCTTTACCCCTGATCTTGCTGGAAAATCTTCTAGTTTATCCCTATTCCATATAATGCTGGATTCCGGTTGTAGAGAGATACTATTCAGTCTTAACAGAAATAGTCCATTTATTGTGATGTTTTCTAGTATTTTTTTTTTTAACAGAAATAAATGTTGTATCTTGTTAAGAGATTTTTGTGGATCTACTAATGTAATCATGCGACTTTTATTGTTATTATTAATATCCTCTATTATGTTGATAGGTTTCCTAATACTGAACCAACCTTACATTAGTACAAATCCAATCTGATAATAGTGTATAATTTTTGTAATGTGTTGTTGTCTTCTTCTTTTTAATATTTTATTTTAAAAATCTGTATCAGTATGTTCATTAAGCAAATGAATTTGTAATTTTATTTCCAGATTCTAACTCTCCCTGATTTAGGTACCAAGAAAAAGTTTACATCATAGAAGAAATTTGGTAGGACTTTTTTTTTCCCTCCAGGTTATGTAAGCTTAGAATTAATTGTTTTTTTGAATGATAAAATTTGTTTGCAAATTCATCTGTTCCTGGGTTGTTTTTTTTCCTTTGGGAGCTTATGGTTTGTTCAATTTCTTTTTCTGAATTTGGGTTAAAGTCTTGTATTTCTTATTCTGTTAATCGAGGATTTTGTATTTTATAAATTTTCCTCCATTTTATTTAGATTGTCAGTTTTATTGGCATATAATTGGGCACAATTGTTTCTAACCCTAAATTACTTATTTTTTTCTTCATTTGTTGTAAATTCTTTTTAAATTTTTTATACTGGCAATTTAAAAAAACCAGAGTAGCCAGTGGTGTCCCTATTTTTTCCCCCAAATGACCTCTTAATTTTATTTATTAATTAAATGCCTTTTGGTTTTCCACTTTATTAATTCCTTTGATTTTCAGGATTTCTATTTTGAGATTTTATTGGGGGGGTTTAACTTGTTGACTTTCTAGTCTGTTTTTCTTAGTTGCATGCTGAATTCATTGATTGTTCTTTCTGTATTTTGTTGATAAAAGTGGATAGAGACACACATTTCCCTCTAAGGATTACTTTGGCTACATTCCAAAAATTCTGGTCTGTTGCCTCACTGTTATTACTACCTTCAAAGAAATTATTAATCATTTTTGTGATTTGTTCTTTGACCTACCAATAGTTATTTTGTTCTAAATAATTTTAAATGTTTCTTTAGTGACTATCATTTTTATTTCATTGTTGTCCATAAAAGATATGTTTAATATTTTTACTTTACTGTATTTTATTTGTGAGGTATTTATGTTTTACTACAAGGTCAATTTTTGTAAAGATGTTATACACAGCTAAAATACATTTATATACCTTTCTACTCCTATTCAATATTCTCCAGAGGTCTATCATATCTAATTTTTCTAAAATTCTATTCAGATTTTTAACTTATTTCTTGTAAATTGATTGATTAGATTTGTCTAGTTCTGAAAGAGGTACACTGAGGTCCCTTACTATTATAGTTTTATTGCCCATTTCTCCCTGTAACTCCTTTAAGTTATAACTATTTAGATGCTATTCCATTCAGTGCATACATGTTAAATATCAGTTTTAATTTGCTGTCTTTGTTACCTTTTGGCATGATGTAGCATGCCTATTTTATCTCTTTTACCCAAATCTATTTTGTGGTTACTTTGCTTAATGTCAAGATTGCTACTCCTACCTTTTTTACTTTATCTAAAGCATTACAAAACCTAGCAGAAAAAGCCTGAAAGAAATTTCATTGGGGCAGCTAGGTGGCACAATGGATAGAGTACTGGCCCTAGAGTCAGGAGGACCTGAGTTCAAATCTTCAGACACTTGATACTAGCTGTGTGACCCTGGGCAAGTCACAACCCTAATTACCTCACCAAAAGGCAAAAAAACTTTTTTAACATTCAAAGAACAATTAATCCCAATACTATATACATTATTTGGAAAAATAGGCAAAGAAGGAGTTCTACCAAATTCCTTTTACAACACAAATATGGTACTGATACCCAAATCGGGAAGAGCCAAAACAGAGAAAGAAAATTATAGACCAATTTCCCTAATGAATATTAATGTAATAATTTTAAATAAAATACTAGCAAAGAGATTACAGCAACATATCACAAGGATCATGCACTATTACCGGGTAGGATTTAAACCAGGAATTCACATCTGGTTCAGTATTAGAAAAACTATCAGCATAACTGACCATATCAATAACAAAATCAACAGAAATCATGATTACCTCAAGAGATGCAGAAAAAGCCTTTGACAAAATACTGCACCCATTCCTATTAAATACACTAGAGAGCATAGGAATAAATGGATCTTACCTTAAAATGATAAGTAATATTTATCTAAAACCATCAGCAAGCATTATCTGTAATGGGGATAAGCTAGAAGCCTTCCCGATACAATCAGGGGCAAAGCAAGGATGCCCATTATCACCTCTATTATTTAATACTGTACTAGAAATATTAGCTATAACAATAAGAGAAGAATAAGAAATTAAAGGAATTAGAATAGGCAATGAGGAAACAAAACTATCACTGTTTGCAGATGATATGATGTTATACTTAGAAAATCATAGAGAATTAATTAAAAATTATTGAAATTATTAGTAACTTTAGAAAAGTTACAGGATATAAAATAAACCCATCATCAGCATTTCTATATATTACCAACAAAGTTCAGCAGCAAGAGATATAAAGAGAAATTCCACTTAAAATAACTGTAGACAATATAAAATACTTGGGAGTCTACTAGCCAAGACAAACCCAGGAACTATATGAACACAACTATAAAACACTTTTTACATAAATAAAGTCAGCTCTAAACAACTGAAAAATATTAATTGCTCATAGGTGGGTTGAACCAATATAATAAAAATGACAAATCTATTTAAATTAATCTATTTATTCAGTGTCATACCAATCAAACTATCAAAAAATTATTTTATAGAGCTAGAAAAAATAATAACAAAGTTCATCTAGAAGAATAAAAGCGCAAGGATATCAAGGGAATCAATGAAAAGATGTGAAAAAGGGTGGTTTACCCATACCAGATCTCATACTGTATTATAAAAAGGTAATCATGAAAACCATCTAGTACTGGATAAGAAATAGAGTGGTGGATCAGTGGAATAGATTAGTACAAATTACATTATAGTAAATGACCATAGTAATCTAGTATATGATAAACCCAAAGATCTAAACTTTTGGAACAAAAATTCATTATTTGACAAAAACTGCTGGGAAAATTGGAAAGAAGTATGGCAGAAACTAAGAAGAGACCAAAACTCACACCATACACCAAGACAAGGTCAAAATGAGTACATGATTTACACATAAAGAGCAAATTAAAAAAGAATGGAATAGTTTATCTGGCAGATTTATGGATAAGATAATAATTTATGACCAAAGAAGATATAGAGAGCATTACAAAATGTAAAATAGATAATTTTGATTATATAAAATTAAAAAGTTTTTGCACAAACAAAACCATGCAACAAATTATAAGGAAGGCAGAAAACTGGGGAAAAATTTTTTTTGTAATAAGTATGTCTGATAAAGCCCTAATTTCTCAAATATATAGAGAACAGAGTCAAATTTATAAAAAATACTATTCATTCCCCAATTGATAAATGGTCAATGATATGAACAGGCAGTTTTTTGACAAAGAAATCAAAGCTATCTATAGTCATATGAAAAAATGCTCTAAATCACTACTGATCAGAGAAATGCAAATTGAAACAACTCTGAGGTACCACCTCATATCTATCAGGGTGGATAATATGACAAAAAAGGAAAATGTTGGATGTCTGTGGGAAAACTGGGACACTAATGCACTGTTGGTGGAGTTAAGAACTGAGAACAATTTGGAATTATACCCAGAGTCCTATAAAAGTGTGCATATCCTTTGATCCAGCAATACCACTGCTAGGTCTGTATCCCAAAGACATCCAAAGAAAGGGTAAAAGGACATATTTGTACAAAAATTCTTTATAGCAGCTCTTTTTGTAGTGGTTAAGAATTGGAAATTGAACGGATGCCCATCAATTGGGGAATGGCTAAACAAGCTGTGGTATATGATTGTAATGGAATATTATTGTGCAATAAGAAATGACAAGTAGGATGATTTCAGAAAAATCTGGAAAGACTCACATGAACTGATGCATAGTGAAGTGAATAGAACTAGGATAATGTTGTACACAGAACAGCAATATTGTTCAATGAAGAACTGTGAATGACTTAGCTATTCTCAGCAATACAATGATCCAAGACAATCCCAAAGGAACTAATGATGAAGCTTACTATCTGCCTCCAGAGAAAGAACTGATATTGTTCTAATATAGACTGAAGCATGCTGTGTACTGAAGCATGCTGTGTACTGAAGCATGCTATTTTTCATTTTCTTTCTTTCATTTTTTTCTTTTATTTGCATCTGCTTGTACATAATGACTAAAATGGAAATGTCTTACCTATATAACATATATATACACATATATATTACATATATAGCACATGTGTAACCTATATCTGATTGTTTACCATTGAAGGGAGGAGGGTGAGGAGGGAGGGAGGGAAATTAAATAAACACAAAAAGTGGAGGCAGGGGAACATCCCAGGCCAATTTCACTCTGAGCCATTCTTAAATATCTCAAGTGCGCCTGTGGTTACTTCAGTTATACTTGCCTCAATAGGCATTTGTCTGTGCTATGTTTCACACAATTGGTCGTGGTGGCATGCAGGCATCCATGGTTTTGGAGTAAAGGAACACATGGTACCATTATCTGAAGCTGCTAACTGGGAAATATGGTAAAAAATTCTAGAAAGAAGATTAGTTTAGAAGAAAACCACATCAGAACTTAAAGTCTGCTTAAAGATGCACAGCATACTTTCCCTTATTTGATTCCAAATACCATTTTGTATTACACATTTCATTCAATCGTGAGAATGGCTTTTTTTCAACACGTCAGTGTTGAAGCCAAAGAACATATGATCAGACTTCAAAATACTAGGCAAATTAGAAAATGAGACTATATAGGTGACTATTATGATATTAGAGGATTATACACACTATAATTTTTCTTTCTTTTTTTTTGTGAGGCAACTGGGGTTAAGTGATTTGCCCACGGTAACACAGCTAGTGTCAAGTGTCTGAGGCCGAATTTGAACTCAGGTCCCCCTGACTTCCAGGGCCAGTGCTAGGAAATTTTTCTAGAGAATATCACATTAGGAAAATTTTTCAGGACAGTTAAAAATTCCTTAAGTTTCCTTAGGCTACCTCTCTTCATAATATTTAAACAAGAAAATGAGTTACCTGGATTTGTAAGTTTCTCTTCCAGCTCAGCCTGAGTTGTTACGCTCTCAGATTTCGGGGAATGAATGATAAGAACAACAGAACCAGCACAACTTAGCAAACATCCCAACTTGCCCAAGATGTTCAGTTTTTCTTTCAGAAGGTAAGAAGCTAAAATAGACCTTCCACAACAAAAAGAAAATGAGAATTTTAAAATCAAGCTATTTGTCATAACAGTAATGAATCTTACTTTAGGTGCTATTTTGTTTAATGATTCAGAAGAACTCGAATTTCTCTGTAGTATTTCTTAATTGGGTTTAAGGTAATGAACGAGAGGGCCTACACCTATGATTTCATTGGTAGAGGGAACTCCTGCGTGACAAAACTTCCCCTACTAATGTGGGGTAACACCTTCTCTGTAACACATACCCTTAAAGAGTTGCCCAGAGTCCTGAGAAATTAATGACTTGTCTAGGGTCACAATGCCAGTATGTGTCAGAGGTAAGACCTGCCCGGGTTTATACCCACTGTGCTATACTGTGCTTCTTAAAAGATTTAATAGTAAGAAATTAGAAAGTTTCAGAGAAATGAAAAAACAAATACAAACATGATATCACAAACAAATTTAAATGTTTCTAGTATAGTGATGGTGGTGATGGTGGGGATAATAAGAGATCAAATAGGGCTCACTGATCATTTGAGTTTCACACAATTCCTCTCTGGTCTACTTGATGAAATTACAGGGTAAGGTAAGAAATATATGACAAAGATAATAAGACTTTATGGTCTTAAAGGAAGTACAAATAAGTGTTTATATTCTGTTGCCACTTTAAGGGGCATGAAGAAACTCTTCTATCACTTTGATGGAATTATAGGCAGAGTAGCTATCGACTATGAGGCAGCTAAGTTGTGCAGTGGATACAATACCAGATCTGAAGTTAGGAAGACTCAATTTCCTGAGTTCAAATCTGGCCTCAGACACTTACTAGCAAGTCACTTAATTCTGTTTGCCTCAGTTTCCTCATCTGTAAAATAAGCTGGAAAAGGAAATGGCAAACTACTCTAGTATCTTTGTCAAGTAAACCTCAAATGGGGTCATGAAGAGTTGGACACGACTGAAACAAATGAACAACAACAAAAAAAAGTTGCCAGAGTAAAAAGAGAAGTCTATCTCACAACAGAATAGGAAGATTATCATATCTGATAAGTCATATAAAAATATCACCCATAGTTCTAAGAGTTACACTGACTCTTTAATATGATGAATCTAAAGTTATTGTCAATTTATTTCTTAATTTCTCTACAATGAAACTAACAACAAGGGGTTAATTGTGATGTATCTTATGAGAACCTAGATGCTGAAGTCATTTTACAGATCAATTGTTAACATAAAGTTGCTTTGAGGCCACTAATAAGTTTCTCATTATATTGCCCACTTACTATGTGCTCAGCACTAACAACCATCACATTTGTATAGCGCTTTTACATTAACAAAGTGTTTCTCACAACAATGTTGTGAAGCAGATAAATTAAGCACTACAGGGGGCACAGATTTCTGTCTTCCAGCACCTCACAGAAATGGAGCAAATCTGAGCAAAAAGCACAAGACAGTAGAGCATTAAGTCATGCGATGTTGACTGACACAGAAAGGGACATAGCCAGTAAAAGTTTCACTGAAGAGATAGGACCTGAAGGGTAGGATGGAGGTGGATAGGCAGAAAGGTCTTCTATGTATGGGGAATAATGTCAGCAAAGGCATTAAGGCAGGAAATAAGGATGATATGGTTATAAGACTTGTTTAGTTGTTATAAGTCCTGTCTGACTCTTCATGATCCCATTTGGGGTTTTCTTGGCAAAGGTAATGGAGTGGTTTGCTACTTCCTTCTCCAGCTCATTTTGTAGATGAGGAAACTGAGGGAAACTGGGTGAAGTGACTTGCCCAGGGTCACCCAGCTAGGAAGTATCTGAGGTCCTATTTGAACTCAGGAAGATGAATCTTCCTAACTTCAGGCCTGGTGCTGTATGCACTCTGGCACCACCTAGCTGCACAGTTATAAGACTAGAGGGTTTTTTTGTTTAACATTTCCCCCTCTGTAATCAAATGATACCCAGACACAAATTTGGCTGAACCAAACAGTCAAAATTATTTTCCTTCTTTTAATTTTTAATAGTGATGACATCATAATAGGAAGGGTCTTATGAAGGGTTGGAGAAGTCCTGATGTTATTTGACAAGTGATTTGGAATACAAAGTTCCTCTAAAAAGAGATGCATACTCTGATTTTCTGTTCTGTTTTATTACACATACTATAGGTGCTAAATTAATTCTCTATATTCCATATTAAGGGTAACTGAAAGAAAATAGTAGTGCTAATGATTCAAAAAATAATACATTTTTGGCTTTGGAATGCCACTTCTCTACATGTCTGCTGTTCTAAGATTTCATAATACTTCAAACTAGATAACAAAAAGCTGTCCAGCTTTTCTGATCCTTCCCTGCTTAGATCTCTTCCCTTTTTCCCATTTCACTATGAAGGGACATCTCTGACATATGCAAAAGACCAGACTAGGGCAGTTTTAACCCATCTAAAATATGTTTGGTTTACACTTCTTCTTCAGAATGATTATAACTAATCCTATGTATGGGCCTAAGAAGCCTTCTTACTATTTTTTGAGCTAGAGTAACTATGATCATGTTTTTATTAAGAAAGGACTTAGCGGAGACCAAATGAGAATGTATATATGTGAAAGTGCTTTGAAATCTACTAAGGGCTATACAAACAAAAGATATTAAGTGTAAGACAACAATGAAAACAAAGCCTTGCATGAAACCAAGACTAGTAAAATCTGCCAAGCTCTAAATGAAAATAATCCTGTTAACTATTTGCTAGGATTTCACTGAACAAATAATTTTTGGGCATAGGAATTCACCATGTAAATAATGTGGTACCTAATCTAGAAACTTAAGAAATACTGCAAACATTCATTTGGAGATCTGTCTGAGAGCCACTTTGGAGAGGAAGGCTAAATGAGAAGAAGGGTACACACCTTTAAAAAAGGAAGAAATAATTCCCCTGTCTTCAGAAAATTTTAAATGAACTGGTCTGTTAGGAAATACTAAGACTAAAATTTTAATAATAAATAATTACAAGGGTGGATAGTGAAGCTTATCTTAATGCAGGTGAAACTTCCCTTTCAGAAGCCTGTGATGATGATAACAAATGAAGCATTAGGGATAAAGCAATTTTGAAGTTACTTCTCATATGCATTAAGTCAGTAAAGACGATAAAGAAGAGAAGCCTCAGAAAGACAGGCATATTCATACACTGTACTTCAGCTATGAAGTAGTTCAACCATTCTTGGAAAACTGTTTGAAATTATCAGAGCAAAGTGACTGAGTTGTTCATACACTTTGACCCAGAGATATAATTCATTACTGGGACTATGCCCCGCCTAAAGAGGTCAAAGACAGAGTTCCCACATATACCAAAATAATCCTTCCAGGACTAACTCCAATCTTGATAAGGTATGTGAGTCTAGAACAGATGGGCCCCTTACTGAACATGGAGAGGATGCAGAAACCTTGCTACTGTGGACCCAGCAGTTGCTCTAACTTTTAGATTTGCTACAAGAAAGCATCCTGTGAAAAGCATTATTAGAAATCAGCACTAGGATTTAAAAAAAAAAAAGCATCAACAGATTTTTAATTTTTTTTTTTTTTTGGTGAGGCAATTGGGGTTAAGTGACTTGCCCAGAGTCACACTGCTAGTAAGTGTCAAGTGTCTGAGGCCGGATTTAAACTCAGGTCCCTCTTGACTCCAGGGCCAGTGCTCTATCCACTGTGCCACCTGGCTGCCCCTATGTTGTTGTTGTTGTTGTTTTTTTAAATAAAGAAGAAATTGCTGATAATGATGGCTTAAAACCAGATTTATTAGAACAAATCTCATGTGGCAAAAGTTGTATTCAAACAGTTGGGAGTTTTTTCCTCTCTGTTTCTTTCTCTCTTCCCTCAGCTCTTTTTCTAAAAAGAGTACTTTCTATATCTGCTAGACATTTCAGAGATATGACAATGCCAAGAGGCACAAATTGTCTTGTTTTACTACAAGATGTTTATTATAGAATCCTGGGTTTAGAGCAAGAAAGGCCCTTAGCAGGCAAGTTTCTGACCATTTCTCATCAACTAGGAAAAACAAAGATCCTAAAATCCTTAACATTAAGAAGCTAACATGTTAAATACTACTTCAGCTATTAAATTTGTGAATACCATCTAAGTGAAGTAACACTACAATTTAAAAGAAAACAATAAAATAAATATGGGAACTGTGTTACAATTGGGGAGACACTGCTGTGTTCTAGAAAGCTGGGTGGTACAGCGGGTAGAAGGCTGGACTTGGAGTGAGGATGAATTCAAATCCTGTCTTTGGACACTTACTAGCAATGTGACCCTGAGCAAATCATTTAACCTCTCTGTGCCTCGGTTTCCTCCACTGAAAAGTGGGAACAATAATAGCACCTACTTCCCAGGGTTGCTGTAAGGATAAAATGAGATAGCTGTGAAAAATAACTGCCACAGTGAACAAGTCTACTAGGAATTGTTTTTTAACGTAACAAAGGACAAAGCCACTTGAAGCCTCATCTGTGAGTAGGAGGGAAATGAAACCGGCCTGGGGAAAAGGAAGCTTATGTTCTCCTCCCAGCTCTGCCAGAACTAGCTTTGTGACCTTGACGAATTTTTCCAGCGTCTCAGGGTCTCCCTTTCTTCATCTATGAAAACGAATGGGCTAGTTTATGTGTTCTTAAAGATTCCTTTCCATCCTATGATTCCATAACCTGGAGTTCATTTGTGCCTTTGCTTGTGGCAAAATGAAAGCTTAGACAGTCAGATACCATATAATTATATGCCAGGAGCAAGCAATTTATACCTATGATGATAGCTATTCTCCATCTCTGCTGGGATTTGTGTATAAGGTACAGGGGTTCATAACCTGTGGTTCAGGTTATAAGGGCAGCTAGGTGATACAGTAGATAGAGCGCTGGGGCTGGGTTCAAATATGACCTCAGATACTGACTAGCTGTATGATGCTGAGCAAGTCACTTAGCCCTGTTTGCCTCAGTTTCCTCATCTGTAAAATGAGCTGAAGAACGGCAAACCGTCCTGGTATCTTTGCCAGGAAAACTCAAAG